AAAAACATGCAAACAACTTTCTTGTACATAACAACTTGTACATAACTTGTACACAACTTGTACATAAGGTACAAAAACATGCAAAACAACTTTCAGAAGACAGCCCCCTGGCTGGAAAGGGCCCCGGGGAGGCCACGGGGTCCCGCGTGCCCCGGTTTTGATCTGGGCTCTGATCACAAAGGGACGCCCCGTGCGAAAGGTCCCCAAGCTGATGCGCTCAGTACACTTTCCCGTGTGCACGTGACGCCCCGTAAAGAGTGAAAGCTGAAAGCAGTGTTAACGGGAAGGAAGGCTGGGTGGGAAGCGGGGAGACTCTGCGGGCGTCTGCCCGTGCCGTGTCCCCCGGCCTCCAGACGCTTCCGCGGAGTGCGCAGGGCAGGGGGGTGCCCGACTGTGGGTCCCTGCAGCGTCGGAAAGCCTGCATTTCACAGAACCCAGACCGCAGGGGGTGCCACCTTCTCTCAGGGGCGGGGCTCAGGGCCAGGACAGCCCAGCAAACTGTCCCTTTGAAAGCAGGCGTCTCGGGCAGGACGACCCGCGCAAAGCTCCCAGCCTGGCTGGCTGGGGAACAATGTCTGGCCTCTTGACGTCTTCCACCGCCTTTCCCATTTTCACGCGCGTTGCCCTTTAACCCTGGGAAACCTGGCGACACGGCAGGGTTTTCACCAAAAAGGCACCTCGGCGACTCTGCAGGAGCCCTGGAGGGGCCGAGGGGCAGAGCAGGTGTGGCGTCCTGAGGCCGCATGGGGGCAAGGGACGACGCTGTGCGGGGCAGGTGCGTGAGGCCGCGGGTGCCCGGGTGGTTTTACGGGAGGGTGCCAAAGCCAGCCGCCGGGCAACGTGATGAACGGATCGTTATTTTCAGTCTCCCTACCTATAAAATGTTAACGCTAAATGCAGCTCGCCCGGTATCCTCCGGTAAGTGACGTTCGCCGTCGTTGGGGCTGATCCGCTACGAGGCTCGGGGGCCGGTCTGCTCGGGCCTGTCGTTCCTCCTGGAACCGGGTCAGGCCTGTGGCCCGTCTGTGCCAGTTCCTTCGATTCATCCTCTGTCACGGTTTTCAGGGGCGTCTGGGCACAGCGGGGGCGGGGGGGGTGCTCACCGACACTGGCCCGTGGCAGAGGGCCGCCCCACGAAGATTCAGGACCTGTGAATGGAGCAGGTGGGAGGACAGCGCCCGGAGAACGAGCAGGGCCTCGCTACGGGGACGCCGTGTTTTATGGCCTTTGCTTTATGACAATTACCTAACGTCGTTCCTGATAAGAACACGAAATCCAAAGTCCGCCTCACTCTCGACGTCTTAGGATTTCTTGTCCTTTATTGAAATCCGATGGGGCGCCTGGGTGGCGCAGTCGGTTAGGCGTCCGACTTCAGCCAGGTCACGATCTCGCGGTCCGTGAGTTCGAGCCCCGCGTCGGGCTCTGGGCTGATGGCTCGGAGCCTGGAGCCTGTTTCCGATTCTGTGTCTCCCTCTCTCTCTGCCCCTCGCCCGTTCATGCTCTCTCTCTGTCCCAAAAATAAATAAACGTTGAAAAAAAAATTTTTTTAAAAAAAGAAAAAAAGAAATCCGAGTTAGTTAACATACAGTGTAATCCTGGGTCCAGGAGTAGAGTTCACGGTTCATCACCTGCATCCGCACCCAGTGCTCATCCCAAAAAGTGCCTCCTCGAAGCCCGCCACCCATCTAGCCCATCCCCCGCCCTCAGCGTCTTAGCGTTTCGAAAGAGCAGCGCCCTCGAGATTTGGTGCAAACCCCAAAAGACGGATTAGATGCCGGTGTCGCCGTCACGGTTCTGGGGCCTCCCCGGCACACGGGGAAGAACTCAGGACAAGACCTTCGGCTGCCCTGGCCCCTCTGCCAACATTCGCTGTCTGCCTTTGACAGCTCCCAGGTGTACCTATCCATCCGGAATCCTCGATCACACCCGCAGGTGGGCCTTCCCTGCCGTCTCCACCCAGCAGCCTTACTCCACACGGCGGGACGGGCCGTTTCACATTTACCCGCGATTTTGATCTTCACCTCCCCCATCAATAGGGATGTGCCCAGGGCAGGAACTGGGGTTTCTCCCTGTCTTTGCTACCGTCACATGCACCGCCTGACCCGGCCCCCGCTCACCAACATCTGCTGGTGAACAAACTGTTCACACAGAAGCGCGGGGAAGGCAAAACCCATTTACACCCTTGTGATCGAGGACCCAGAGCCAAATCGCTCTGCTGGGCTCTCGGCCAGCACATCCCCTGCAGGTGTCTGCACCCACAGCTCGGAAGGTCCAGCAGGTGCAGAGCCCCTCCCCCCCCATAACCTGGAGAACACCCTCATGCCTGTGTGGGCCCTGCCCTCATCCCCGGCCACACTGGGAGGCGGCCCGTGAGGACAGTTGTCACGGAGCAGCCCTGTGACAGGGAGGGGGCCACAAGAAACCACAGTCTCACGTGCCTGAGGTCCTACAGGACAGGCCCCATCTAGCTCAGCAAATGGTGTCTGTGCGCGTGTTTGCCCATATTTGCTGCATTCACGATAATCGTAGCGCTAGACAGGCAGACCGTGGTTCATGATTGGACACAAGTTTAAGGATTCTCAGAGTTGGGCGCCTGGGTGGCTCAGTCAGTTGAGCACCCCGCTCTTAATTTCAGCTCAGGTCATGACCCCAGGGTCATGGGATCAAGCCCCATGTCAAGTGCCTCATCGGGCTCCGAGCGGAGTGTGGAGCCTGCTTAAGATTCTCTCTCTCCCTGTTTCTCTGCCCCTCCCCTGCCTGTGCTCTCTCTCTCTCTCTCAAATTAAAACAATTTTTTTTTTTTTAAGGACGCTGAGTTAAAGTCAGAGAGACGATGGATGGGTGGCACAGACAGAGAGAGACATTGAGAGGCGGGGCCCGGCTCGAAGAGAAATTTATCATCGCCCTGCAGACGAGTCAGAGACTCAGGCAGCGGTTGGCGATGGTGCGTGAGTGTCCAGTGTATGTGTGTTTCGGGGCAAAGAGAGGAAGGAGGGGGAGGAAGGAAAAAAGAGGAACAGTGGGACAAAACATCGAGAGCAGCCCCTCACGCGTCCTGCTCTCAACAGGCCGTTACTGGGAGAGCCGCCCCCGGACACTTCCACACGTTCCCCAGGCCCAGAGCGAGACGGGCCCAGGCCCAGGAACCGTGGGCTCCGAGATGGACAGCTACCGCGACCAACGACTGGCCCGGCTACTTGTGGCGCTCTCTCTGGTGCCCGAGTCCCTCCTCCCGGCCGGTTCCGGTCACCAGCTGCAGCCCGGGAGACCATCCTCTGGCGCCCTGCCACAGGGCCGCCGGCCTCTCTCCGCTCTTCTGGGCCAGGGCTGCTCAGAAGCTGGGGGAGCCCCTGCACCAGCACGGCGACAGCCCAAAATGAGGGGGCGCAGGGAGGGAGCAGCCGGGTCTGCCCGGTCTCCATCCTCTGGATGCACCCCGTGCGCCCAGCGCCTGCAGCCGTGACCTCAGTTGGGCCTGGGTGGCCTTCCTTGCTCCTGTTTCCCTCGTCCCGTCCCCCACTCCTGCTCCCCTGGCCGCCTCTCCAATCGCCCCCTTCTTTGAGAGGGACCCCGGCGAGCCCCCACGTAGCCCCGGACCTCGGAACCAGCAGGCGACACGCGATGATCCGATGGTACTGCTCATTGAAGGTTTGCGCTCTGATAAGTTGGAGCTGATCACGAATCGTGACACGCTCCCTTCCTGACAGCATCACGGGCCTGTTTGAGGTCAAAAAGGAGAAATCAGGACGGCGACGACCCAAGTCTCTGCCGCTGGCTCTCAGCAGCCTGCAGGAGCCTCGCCCTCAGGCAGGTGGGGACACCTCTCCGCACGCGGGGTCCCCATCCGAGGAGGGGCCCACCTGGGGCTCCCCAGGGTGAGGACAGCAGCTGAGCCAGCCCAGCCCAGCTCCCGAGGGCCGCGCGCCTCCTGCACACGGCACGGGGGCCGGGCAGGCAGCGTGCCCCAGTTTCTTGCAGATGCGCCCGATGCGGCGGAATGTTCAGAACGAAGCCCAGGGCCACAGCCCCATCGGGACGCCCGGCCGGCTGGTCCGTGGGCGCGCTCCCGCCCGGCAGGCCGGAGCTGGCCCACGCCCGAACCCAGCCGAGCCCTGTCCGGGCCACTGGTGGGCGGAGGCCGGCTGGCTCCCCTCCGTGCACAATGAAAGGATGCGGGCATTTCCAGGCATTGAGGGCCGCGGCGGGGAGCTCCAGCCCACACGTCTATGCAGCCGTGGTGCAACTCCAGGCTGGACCAGGAACCGGTCCACACGGCAGGCCGGAGACACGCTCGGCACGTCCACGGTCACCACCCAGGCCCACGTCGGCCCGTCACACCTGCCCCTGCTGAAGTCAGGCTGCGTCGGCCCCTCCAGCCAACCACCCGTGCGGCCGGGAGATGCCTCCCAGGGTCCTGTCCAGCGGCTCCCGAGTGTCAGCGGTCCCTTTTGTAAAACGGGGTGGGGGACCAACCACACAAACGCTGGGACGGCCCCTGGTCCCTCCCGCCACCCCTCTCGGTCTCTGTCTCCTGGACCCTCCACCTGACCCTCTGTCCCTGCGGCGCCTCCCGGCGCTGGGCCCCTGGGGAATGAATGCGTGTCCGCCCGCCTGCCTCCTTTCTTATCACAGGCCTCCTTCCAAAATGTTCTTCTGAGGGATTTTTGAAGAGTAGATCACGTACTTCTTCAGCTAAGAAAATGACGTCTCAGACCCCCCCGGGCAGCTCAGTCGGTTAAACGTCCGACTCTTGACCTCAGCTCAGGTCGTGATCTCACAGTTTGTGGGTTTGAGCCCCGCATCGGGCTCTGTGCCGCAGCACGGAGACCGCTTCTGATTCTCTCTCCCTCCCTCTCTCTCTGTCCCTCCCCTGCTCACGATCTCTGTCTCTCAGCTCTCTCTCAACATTAGAAAACAAAAAAAGAAAAGGCCTCCTGCTTTACCACATCACCCACCACCTCCGAGACTTGGCGCGAGGTCGGAAGGTGCATGGGGCCAGAGGAGGGGGCAGAAAACAAAGCCTCGGTGGCTGCCAAGTGCTGGCCTTCTGCTTGTCCTCACGCTGTCATTAGCCAGCAGGGGCTGACAGCCCCATGTTACGGGGGAGGACACTGTCGGGAGGGTGCAGGACATAACCAGGCGGCCAGCCCGAGTGGAGCCACAGAAGCGGTAACAGGAGGACTGCACGCCCCTCGGAACTTCCTCCACCGGCAACGAGGCCTTCGGAAAGTTCGCGACGTTTATACAGGACCTCAAGTCAGGGCAGATGTGTAAGTCGCTCCAGCCCGCCCCCATCAGACACGTCTCATCCGTTACGGCCAGACAGCCCATGAAGCCCCTCTGCTTAGCTAACAAATATTCTTTACATCATGTTCTATTGTTTAAGCCGTAACCATCGTAAATGTAAACAGGTACGGGGGGAAATTGGTCACAGACTGAACAGGAAGCTCAACTCTTCACCAATAAACCAAAACGCCCGTCCAAGCACCCATCTTCGGGGGTGGGGCTTGCAAGGAAACCTCCAGAAGCACACCGGAAAGTCGTTTTTTAAGGAAACTAACATTGAGGAGAATTTGGTGGTTGGGGTGCTTTCCTTAAACAGAAGTTACAATGAAATGTTTTGACAAAAAGAAGTGCTGTTTCATGTGGCTTAATATTTCGTGATCTCCCTGTGAAATTTTTACAAGAAGGTCTGGTAAGAATTTTTAAACGCCATAAACCCTGGTAGGGGTAGTGATGTTACAGTGTGTGATCAATATCTAATATTGGCAGACATCCAGGAGGTGAGGAAGAAGATATAAAAGTTAAGGGATGCTGCCCTCTCTTCAAATAGAAACTGGAAACAGAAGAGAATACGACAGTATTACTGAGGCTCGGGGCAGAATTTGTTATTGAAAAATAATGCATCATCATTAATATTGTGTCAGAGTCCCATAGCAGGTCGAACCTCAGAAGCCAATTTTTATCTTGCAGTGAGAGTGATTTTTCATTTTCTTTTCATTAGCTGGTCACAGTTGAGTCTTCTATTTCCTGCAAACTACAATCAGAAAACACGGTAAGAATTACAAGCACTGGGCATCCTTTGGTAGTATCTTTTTTCTTAAAAACATTTGCAATACTGCACCAAGTGTGCTTTCGATGGCTAAAATTTTAAATACGTACGGATGCCAGTTACTGGGGCCACCTACACAAAAGTGTAAGTCTTAGTCTATCATCTGGAAATGTCTAAAGAGTTCACTTGAAAAGAGAAAAATCCAAAAAAAAAAAAAATGCATTTACTTTCATCTAGCTGCTTGTCTTGTAAATATCCGCGGCATGGGCTATTGAGATATAATTACAAGTACCAACTGAAACCTAAAAAGAAAAGTAATGATTGGCTGACAAACATTCATAGTTTTTAGTAAGTTGGTGTCAGGAAGGAAGGATACTTTTGAGGGACTAGCATTTGGCAAGGTGACCTAGCACCTCCTCCAATCCTCACGCAAAACGCTGACAGCGGTCCGTGACAAGAAGCGTGTGAGGGCTCAGCCTCCTTGCAAGCAACAGGTCAGCCTGGCGAGGTGCCAGAAGGTGCTGGCAGAAGACACGAGCTTCCTGGCTCAGAGACAAAGGGCTTTGTTGTCCCCAGCAAAGCAGGCAGCATGAGCTTCACGTCCCCCTCTGTCCCCTGCTCTCTATGTGCCATGGGGTGCTGTAGGGTTTGGGGAGACGCTGCACAGGCGGTGGGTCTGTGCCACAGCTGACCAGCTCCAAGCGTAGGAACTCTCACTCTTCTATAATCTACTCTTTGCCCCACAGGGAGACATTATCTTTATTGCACAGGACAGTGACTAATCTGCCCCTTGCTGATGAGGGGATGTTTCAAATTTCAATGACAGACTTATTACCATCAACCCTTTTAACCATGCCTGGCATTATCATTCTACATTTTTCACAGGTAGAACATGAAATACAGAAAGTAAACGAGCAGTAGGGGCGCCTGGGTGGCTCAGTCGGTTAAGCGTCCGACTTCAGCTCAGGTCATGATCTCACAGTCTGTGAGTTCGAGCCCCGCATCGGGCTCTGCGCTGATGGCTCGGAGCCTGGAACCTGCTTCGGATTCTGTGTCTCCCTCTCTCTCTGCCCCTCCCCTGCTCATGCTCTGTCTCTCTCTGTCTCAAAAATAAAAATTAAAAAAAAAAGAAAGAAAGAAAGTAAATGAGCAGTAGAATCAAAATTATAGCATGTGTCAGGGACATCCTTAAAGTGTTGGGTCACCGCTTTAGAACGCAAGGCCAAGCAGGAACCACTTCTGTCCCCGTGATCTCTCACCTCTTCAGACCACTTGACTTTTAATGCTGCAGGATGTGACGCCTGAATTGGGCACGCTGTGCAGTTTTCTTGCTTGTAAAGCTAATAATACTATATACAAAAATGTTGATAATTTGGTAATCTAACTGAAAAAATTCGATTTCTGAACAAATTTTATAAGTCATTGTTATATGTACATTTCTGCAGGGTTTTTTTTTTTTTTTCCTAACCAGGAAACACTTTTTTTTTAAGTTGTATTTAAACTTAGAATTGTAGCTTATTTTTAGACATGGAGAAAGATTTTACACAAGAGGAATACATGGTTTTATTCCCAGTGTTGATGGCTCTGATTTACTTCCAAAATGTACACCATTTTTTTAAAGAAGCAAAATTGCCAAAATTAAATGTCTTAAAAAGGATCAGAAAGAAAAAAGTAACCAGATTTTTCCTCAGCGCAACCACCTCAAGAAGTGAAAACCACAACAGGAAACCACTCTGACCAAGCACATGACATTTGCTGTGTATATAACATGATTTGGGTTGCAGATAAGTAGAATCTTCTTCTCTCGCTTTATTGAGGTATAATTAACATACAGTGAATTACACATATCAATTTGATCCTTTTTCTCCCCTCCCAGATATATGTTTTGTAAATATTTCTCCATCCAGACTTGCGTAGAATCCTGACATCTCAATAAAACTCAAACATAAATGTTTTCAACTTAAAACTTCTTAAATTGGCTATGAAGTTTTACATTTTTAATTTGTATAGAAAAGCAAGATATGTTCTATTTTTAACTAAAACTTTTCAATTTAATAATTATATCCTAGGGACGCCTGGGTGGCTCAGTCAATGAAGCATCCAACTTCGGCTCAGGTCATGATCTCACGGTTCATGGGTTCCAGCCCTGCGTCGGGCTCTGTGCTGACAGCTCGGAGCCTGGAGCCTGCTTCGGATTCTGTGTCTCCCTCTCTCTGCTCCTTCCCTGCTCACTCTCTCTCTCTCAAAAAAAAAAAGTGAATAAACGTTAAAAAAATTTTTTTTAATAAGCAAAAGACTTCAAGAGGCACTTCACAAAATAGGACATCCAAATGGTCCATAAATATGTGAAAAGATGGTAATTCTCATAAAAACGAGAATTAAAATAATAAGATATCACGATACAGACACCAGAATGGCTACAAACAGACAACACCAGCTGTTACCACGCTGACGGGAACGTGCAGTGATTCGGGCATTCTGGAAAACAGGCGGTATCCACTGAATGTGTGTGCTTGTGTGCACTGTGACCTTAGCAATGACGCCCCAGGCACACACCCAGCCAACACGCCTACTCGTGGTGCGCGTAAAGGCTCCTACAAAACTATTCGGCACTATCCTTTTTTAAATTTTTTTAATTTTTAGTGTTTTAGAGAGAGAGCGAGAGCACATGAGTGGGGGAGAGAGGCAGAGGGAGAGACAGAGACAGAGACAGAGAGAATCTTAAGCAGGCTTCATGCTCAGTGCAGGGCCTGATGCAGGACTTAACCCCACGATCCTGGGATCACGACCCGAGCTGAAATCAAGAGTCGGATGCTCCACTGACCGAGCCCCCCAGGCGCCCCCAGAGCAGCACGACTCTCAACTGGCAGAAACTGGTAATCATCCAAATGTTCTCTAACGGTAGAAATGACTGCATATCCTATGATGGGATTGTGCCCAGCAGTTAATATGAAAAAGCCCCACCCCCACTTTGATTCTGTTTTTATATATTTCTAAAACAAGGCAAATTCATCTGTGATGAACCAGGATAGTGTTTCACTTTGACGAGGAATGGAGGGGATTCACTGGGAAGAGATGTGAGGGGGGCTTCCGGGGTGTTAGGAATATTCGGTCGTTTTGTTTTATTTTATAAACTGGTACGTCCGTGTGGGGTTAACTGAGCTGTACGCCTATGTGCCTTCAACATAAAGGTTACAAGTACCCCTAGGGTCCTATATTAGGAGAAACATGAGTGTGACAGCAAGCATGATGTGGGAGTTCGGGGGAGAGGCTCTTACCAAGCGCGGCAGTGGCCTGGGAAGGGAACAGACGGGGAAGAACGAGAAGGAGCCAGGATCCCGACGCTGTTGCACCTGCAGGCAGAGACCCAGGTGACTGTGGTCCAGCCTTGGCTTCCGTGGGGTGAGATTCCTGCTCCGCGCTCCGTGCCCTTCTCCGGGACCCGCTGAGTGTCCTCATTAATTCATCACTGTGCTTTTCCCCAGGATATACGCAGAACTGCATACACAGCTACTGTCTGCTTCACTCTGAGTCAGTGCACTTGTAAGTTAAAGACAGTAATTCAGCTTCTATCCCTACAGCTGTCCCTCGGGGGCCCAGCCTGGGCTCGGTTCTTGACCCTACACCTTGCTTATCAAATTGTCCAAATACGTCAGGGGCTTTCCCGTGGCCACCTTGCTGGACCTTTCAGAAAGAGTCCTGATTACAGATGTTTCCAAACATTGAATTCTGGGTTTGCCAGTAGAAAACTTCGAGAATCTCCTTTTGGACTAAAACTCTTTCTTCTGGGCCAACTGTCCTTGTCCTCCCAGAAGAGCTGTGAAATCTGAGGCCTTTTTGTTTCTGACAAGTACGGTGAAGTCAAGCCTGATGAGAATCAGATACTCCCTCTTCCTTGACTTCTGTGACTTTATCCCTATTTGTTAGCTAATACTGTACATATCTAGGCTTTAAATTAGTGTTTCGTCATGTGTCACCTCTCATTTTGATTTTTTTTCAACCATTTGAAAACAGCAACCAGGCTGGATCCCCGGCTTAAAATATTAACCTTTGTCCCTATTAATGCAAGGTGTATGTGACCCAGAAGTAAGGGTCACTTGTGAAAACGTGGACTTGTGGTGTAGAAAGTCGCACAAGACTAAAAGTATTTAGAACGTACTTTTTTAAATATGGAACTCACCCTGCTTCGCCACCCCTTAAATTGTCCTGCAACAAGTAAATCACATTATTTGACTAAAAAAATAATAATCGTAACATGTTGGCATTAGTCTTGGAACAAGGGACGTCTCTTCATGAATTTCTATATTTAAACAAATAGTTTTTAGCTAGAACATAATTATTTCACCCATAATTGGGCATATGTCTGTCGGATACTTTGTTATGTACACTCTTGGCTACAGTCCCCCCCCCCCTTTTTAAGTTTATTTACTTATTTTTGAGAGAGAGAGAGAGAGAGAGGGTGTATGATCGAGTGGGGGAGGTGCAGGGAGAGAGGAAGAAAGAGAGAATCCCAAGCAAGCTCCACACTGCAGAACCTGTCTCGGGGATCAAACTCATGAACCGTGAGATCATGACCTGAGCTGAGACCAAGAGTTGGACAGGTAACCAACAGAGGCACCCAGGCACCCCAGCTACAGCCCCTTTTAATATTTTATTTTTTCGGGGCACCTGGGTGGCTCAGTCAGGTAAGTGTCCTACTTTGGCTCAGGTCATGATCTCAGGGTTCATGGGTTCGAGCCCCATTTTGGGCTCTGTGCTGACAGCTCGGAGCCTGGAGCCTGCTTCGGATTCTGTCTCTCTCTCTCTCTCTCTCTCTCTCTCTGCCCCTAACCCACTCACATTCTGTTTCTGTCTCTCTCAAAAATAAACAAACATTTAAAAAACAAACAAAAAAAAAGATGCTAGTGATGTCTTAAGCTTCTCAAGGAAATTGCAACCTCTATAATGAAGGTATGTTTATTCATTTCATCCTTAATACTTAGGCAAATCTGCATCAAACAAACAAAAACCCTTGAAATGAAAATCTGTCACATATTTCAAAATAGTTAGATATTCAGGTCAAAAGTAACTGGAGACATATTTGAACAACAAACATTTTTTTATTCTATTATTTTTTACTTTTCTGATAATTGTTTTTAAATAGATTTTTCAATTTAGGTAAAAATTCCACCTGAGGTTTGTTTTAGAAAGACATGAATATTAGAATGCAATAATTTAACCAAATTAATTATACATTTTGCCTCATTAACTATCTGAAAAAGAAATATGTATCTGTGCCTTACTTTAGAAGAGATTAGGGGTGGGGCGCCTGGGTGGCTCCGTTGGTTGAGTGTCTGACTTCAGCTCAGGTCACGATCTCACGGTTCGTGGGTTCGAGCCCCACGTCAGGCTCTGTGCTGACAGCTCGGAGCCTGCAGCCTGCTTCGGATTGTGTCTGCCTCTATCTCTGCCCCTCCCTGCTCGAGTTCTCTCTCTCCCTCTCAAAATTAAATAAACATCCAAAAAATTGTAAATGAATAAATAAATCTCTTTAAAAAAAATAGAAGAGATTATACTTTGGGGCACCTGGGTGGCTCAGTTGGTTAACTGTCCAACTCTTGATTTCGGCTCAGCCCATGAGCTCACAGTTCATGGGCTCAAGAACCACACTGCCAGTGTGGAGCCTGCTTGGGACTCTCCCTCTCTCTCTCTCTCTCTCTCTCTCTCTCTGCCCCTCCCCTGCTCGAGCTCTCACGCTCTCTCTCTCCCCCCAAAACTAAAAAGATAAACACTAGAAAAGAGAGAGAGAGATTACACTTCAGCGAACACATCGGGCAGAAAATTTGTGTAGTCTTGTAATTGTCCTACAAATAGCAGAAGACCAAATAAATCATCTTCTCTGAAATTACATCAGGGTTTGTACACTTGCAACGCCAGGAAGGGGGAAGATCTCAACACTGACATTGAAACTGGACATTGAGGCTGGACATTGCAAGCATACAGCTCGCTTAACTTTCAGGGTCCTGAGCATCCTGCCAATTGCTCAGATGAGAAAACTGGGTTTCAGAGGGATGCTTGGCCACTCACGGCCAACGGCGGGCAGGTGACATTCAACCTCAGGTCTGTGTGAGCCTAAGACCGTGCTCAGCACTTGTGTGGTGGCGCAAGTTGTCCCACGGTAGTAGCCACCCCCCACTTCTAGGGCTTAACACCCACCGTGGGGCCCGGTGGCCCTGCAGGGCTGGTCGTGGCTGAGACTGGGCTGCTCCGTGTCGCGGCTCCCCCGCTCCTGCACAGGCACTGCAGCCAAGGAAGACAGAGCTGACCGGTCACTCACCGGCTCTTAAACACTTCCACCCGGAAGCGACACCCTGCTTCCGCACCGTCTCGTTACCCGGAACTAGTCATGTGGCCATGCCTGACATCACAGGGGCGGAAGGTGACATTCTGGTGCTCAGTAGAGGAAAATCAAAACCAGCCAACAGCACTGATGTCTAGGGAAAATGGTTAGGATTTCACCGAGTGGGTACGAGAGGGGGTCTTCCCAGCGGAGGGAAGATTCGAGCAAAGCTGGGGAGGTGGGGGAGCAGAGGCAAGTTCGTAAGACGGAGAGGGAGCGATTTATTTGAACTCACCTGTGAAATACTAGGAAACTGAGCTAACAAAACGAGCTGGGCTGAGCGGACTGACTGTGAGGATGTCATTAGGGTGAAAATCGCTATGACATGACTGCAGTGGTGCATTAGGAAGATCAGGCAGGTTTGACATCGGGGGGACGGTGCAACAAGACCCCAGGAGGGCACTGTGACAGAGGACTGCCAGCGTCAGGAAACCGGAAGGACATGCAAAGTGAAAAAGGAGGGAGTTGGGGACAACCCTGAGATCTGGCTGACAAGCCCCCGAGTTGGAGAAGGCATGTGATGGGCCGGGGGTGGAGGGTGCGGGCTGGAGAAAGAGGGAAAGGGGAGGGGATCGGCAATGAGACACTCGTGAGTCTTGGGGACAGAAAGGACTGGAAAGGCGGTTTTGTAGTTTGGGGCAGGGGAGAGGAGCACGTGTCTTCTCCCACATATAGAAAACAGTTTAGGGGCGCCTGGGTGGCGCAGTCGGTTAAGCGTCCGACTTCAGCCAGGTCACGATCTCGCGGTCCGGGAGTTCGAGCCCCGCGTCGGGCTCTGGGCCGATGGCTCGGAGCCTGGAGCCTGTTTCCGATTCTGTGTCTCCCTCTCTCTCTGCCCCTCCCCCGTTCATGCTCTGTCTCTCTCTGTCCCAAAAATAAATAAACGTTGAAAAAAAAAAAAAAGAAAACAGTTTAAAAATTCGCAGTAACGGACCAAATTCGTCACAGACATTGCGCTGTCATGAACACAGGGACCATACTTCACAGCCAAAACAACCACCACCCAGTCAGATATTTACGACAGCATTCTCTCGCCTACATCCGTCCCAAGACCTTGCAGGCTTGCTGCGATGTTCTGAACAAATGGAATTGCTAATGCAGTGTCTTTTAATAATTAAAAATACGCATAAGTTAAGATTTTACTGTGTTTCTTTTTTTACACACACATAAGCACGAATACTTCTGTGCTGTTTCACTTATGTTCACGCCTATTAAAAAAAAACCTGGGGCGCCTGGGTGGCGCAGTCGGTTAAGCGTCCGACTTCAGCCAGGTCACGATCTCGCGGTCCGGGAGTTCGAGCCCCGCGTCGGGCTCTGGGCTGATGGCTCAGAGCCTGGAGCCTGTTTCCGATTCTGTGTCTCCCTCTCTCTCTGCCCCTCCCCCGTTCATGCTCTGTCTCTGTCCCAAAAATAAATAAACGTTGATAAAAAAAAAACCTCCCTGCATGTCCCTTGTTGTCACGTACATTTTTTTAACCCCTACGGTGCCAGCGTTCAAATCAGGATGAAAACATCTCTGTAGCCGTGGACACTGGGCGAGTACATCCACATACTTTAATTTGGACTGTGTGGGGGGTCTGCGTGTGGGCGGTCAGGTAATCGCCACCCTGATGTTCATTTCTCACCAGCAGAAACCAGGTCTCAGCTATAATGATCCCCTCACACTGTCCTACGATTAGTGTTATGGGATAGATGTCAAACTTGGGAATTTGTCCCCCCCACCCCCATGCTACTTTCTCATCCCAACACCTAGATAACAGGTGCAGAATGGATTCCCATCCTGGTTCAGTGACGTGAGGGAGACAGCCTCACCTAGGTGTGATTGCAGATGTGTGTGTCACAGCCTCAAGGTCAAGAAGGATCTAAAATGTCATCTAAGCCAGCGGTTGTCAGACCTACTGGAATCACTCAGGGAGACGTCAAATGCACAGATTCTGGATCTTGATTCTGTGTCTAGGGCTGAGCGAATGTGTAGGTTTAATAAATCCTCTGGGGGCGCCAGGGTGGCTCAGTTGGTTGAGTGCCCGACTCTTGATTTTGGCTACGGTCACAATCCCAGGGACGTGAGATAGAACCCCGCGTCAGGCTCTTTGCTGAGCACAGAGCCTGCTTAGGATTCTCTCTCCCTCTCTCTCTCTCTCTCCCTCTGTCCCTCTCCCCACTGTGTGCACACACTTTCTCTCCAAATAAACATTTAAAAAAATAATAAAAAATAAAAAAATAAAAAGTCCTCTGAAATGTGAACACAGACTTAATAGTTGACGACTGAAAAGCAATTGTTTTCAAATTATGGCGGTGTTAGAACACAGTTGACCCTTGATCAATGCAGGGGTCAGGCACGCCGGTGTCTCAGAGTCAGAAATATGTGCATGATTTTTGACTTCCCCAAACCTTCTCCACCGGTAGCCTACTGTTGGCCAGAAGCCTTCTGATTACGTAACAGCTAACACATACTGCATATTATATGCATGATATAATGTCGCCTCACAATAAGGTGAGAGAAACGTAAATGTGATCGAGAACATCTCAAGGAAGACAGAATACATTTGTAGTACGGGACTGTAAAAAATCCACGTCTAAGCGGACCAGTGCCGTTCAAGCCCACGCTGTTAAGGGTGAGGGGGACAGTGAAGTGAGCGGGGGCAAGGGTGTCCAGAAATACACCTGTCCGAGCCCGAGCTTCCTCTTCTACGGTTGCCCCTCACACACGAGGGGCGTGGTTTCTAGGTTCTCTCTCTGATTCTATCCTTTTTCCCACATCTGTAGTCTGAAGTAATTATTAACATTTCCACTTTGACCTTGGCCTGGCAGTCTCACTGCTCTATACCAGGTGGGGGGGGGGGGGTACGTTCTTTCATCCTGCTTGATGTTTGAGAGCACTTTCAATGTGAAGACTCATGTGTTTCTGACACTCTGGAACATTCCCACCTTTCATTGCTTTAATTATGTTTCTCTGCCATTCTCTTCGCTTCTCTGGAATTCTAATTAGAGTAGACTGAGCTCTCCTAGCCCATTGCTCTTGTCCCTCATTGGACCCCTATCTTCAAAAGCCTCTTACCGCTCTGTTTTCCAGATGTGTCCCTCAGCGCGTTTCTTCTTCCTTTTGGGCTTCCACCAATCGCTACATTTATCATCTGTAGGATTTCCAGTTGGTTCTTTTTAAATATATGCTTATTTCTGCCAGCTCTTTGTTTCACAATTTCTTACCCCCTTCTATGAGTATTATCTAATCATATAGTTCTTTATGTTTCTTATACATGTGTTTAAAGCTCTTTTCAGAATGTTTCATTATTTTTGTTTTATCTGCAGTGAATTCATCTTTCAACTGCTGCTTTGGATGGTCCTTTAGCATTTGGTTTTTGCACACGTTTTGGAATTTGGGGCTGGTCAGCTCATCCTAGGTGGTGATTCTCGCAGTCTCTCTCTCCCACTCTCACAGTGCCCATGCCTCCCTCTGGCTAACAAAGGCCTTGACCTGGTCCGAGGGGGGCCCTCACCCTGGAGCAAGACGTGCAGTCCTGGCAGGAGGCGTCCAGATACACCACTGCCTGGCTTAGCTCACCTCCGCTCAGAAGGCTGGGTCAGTGTTTCCTCCTCTCCCCGTGGGCACTGTCATCCCCACCACCCTACGGGACCTCAGTTCCTTCCGGGATCTGCCTGCTCGGGGCCCCGGGTCCAGCAGGATGGCCCCTCCAGCTCCTTCCCACTGCTGTGCACTTCTGTCCAGATGCGGATCCTCAGCGATGCCTGCGTCGTTTCAGGTACCCTCTAATTTTACATTTTCTCTGTCTTCCTCCTCTCATTGGTGTCTATTCAGAACAGGTGCATGTGCGTGGCACCGGCGTTTCCAGCACAAACACAACGCCATCCTGACCGAAGCCTTAGGCCACGATTTTCACTTTTCACAAAATGTTGCAACATTAGCACTTTTTAAAAACCTTTTAAACGTTTACTTATGACAGAGAGAGAGAGAGAGAGAGAGAGAGAGAGAGCAGGGGAGGGCCAGAGAGAGAGGGAGACACAGAATCCGAAACAGGCTCCAGGGTCTGAGCTGTCAGCACAGAGCCCGACATGGGGTTCGAACTCACGAACCGTGAGATCCTGACCTGAGCTGAAGTCGGACGCTCAACCGACTGAGCCCCCCAGGCACCCCAAGCACTTTTAAAAATGTTTCTGTTGCACTGCATTTCCAAAAGCAAACACTTATAATTTGGTACTTTTGATTTCCAGAGATGCTGGTGGACAAAGGAGAGGCCGGGGCAAAGTCCTGAGCTATTCCACTTTTGGGTTTCCCATGAACAACATGTTTCTCAACATTCAGTTCTCTTGGTTTCTCCAGTTTTTACTGCTGGTAAAGCATTTACGTCCATGCTTCCTTCATTTGGCCTGTGTTTTTACTTGTTTAAATAAACTTTAACGGGAGTTTGCATTGAAAAATGTTTTCTAGCAGGGCGCCTGGATGGCTCAGTCGGTTAAGCGTCTGACTTTGGCTCAGGTCACGATCTCACACTCCATGAGTTCGAGCCCCGCGTCGGGCTCTGTGCTGACGGCTCGGAGCCTGGAGCCTGCTTCGGATTCTGTGTCTCCTTCTCTCTCTGTCCCTCTCCTGCTCATGCTCTGTCTCCGTCTCAAAAATAAATAAAAAAAAAAAACATTTAAAAAATTTTAAAAATTTTTTCTAGCAAAATCATACATATTCTGTATATCAGCATACAATATGTACTGTACAATGATACATAATTTATACATTTATATAAGTAACTGTATGGCACTGTTTATTTATTTATATATTTCTATATCGTACCCACTTTCTAGGAGGAAACGGCACGAGACGTGGAGGGTCATAGCTGACATATCTGTGCCATTTGCTTTCCTGAGGTCTGTTACATTCCTAATCTTTTCCCTGATACTTTATATTTCCCACAGCCTACACACATTGGGGCTGGAATCCGGCTTATTACATTTAGCTCACCTTAGAACCTGCCTTTCATAATGTCTCCCGCATTCTCTTCGCTTCTTTGGAATCAATGGCCGCCAGTGGACGGAGTCACGTTAAAGCCGCTCAGTAGATCGAGACCCAGGGACGAGGCAGACACACGTTCTCCATCCGGCCGCACTGTCGAGACCCTACCTTTTCTCATCTAGAGAACAGGCGAGAGGCTGGGTGGAAAATGTGGCTTCCGTGCTGTGGAGTCCAGCCTTGCAAAGATCACTCACTTGACTGAGGGCTGGTGACCGTGGAGGGTGTGCCACACCCCACAGCGGCCTCCACTCCAGTCCGCAGTTACTCAGCAAACGTTGCTTATGTGCAAGGCACCGTGCTGCACTCAGTACTGGGAGCGGGGAACAGAAACAGACTCAGTAAGAGCGGTCCTGGGCACTAAGGAGGCCTCACGTAAACCAAAGTAACATGAAGCGATTGTCCAACACGTTAAGGGCAAGTGACCAGTGTTCACAAGATGTGATTCCCGTCTAACGTCACACACACACACACACACAGCCACCATCTATTTCCTTTGCATCCTGTGTAAATATCTTCTTTGTCTATTTAAGATTTGGTAGGTTTTGCAGCATTATCCTAATTTATAAAACGCTAGCAGTCACACTGAACCACAGACGTTAGAGTTGGTAAGATTAAATTCCTATTTTAAGTCCTTTTTGTATCTCTGCTTTCTCTATG